ACCTGCGTGGTGAGATATCAAGATTGGCTCTCGTGACCCGCATTAGGTGCGCAGGAGGGAGGCTCTCATACAGCAGTGGGTCGACTTAGAATGCACGCACGGTGGATTCTAGATTTGAAGCTTTCGTGACTGCAAGGATTCATACTCTTAGTTCTTTCGGTAAAGTCACGTAGGTAAAAAATGAAATAAAAATTTATAAAAAATAAAATCGCGACGTGTCGGAGGCAACACAAGTCTCCGTCATCAGATGGGACCGTCACAGCGGAGACTTGTGTTGCCTCCGAAACGTCGTGATTTTATTGTTTTATTTTTATTAATTTTAATTTCATTTTTCACCTACGTGACTTTACCGAAACAACTAAGAGTATATACGCACGGTGGAGTCGGCTCGCACTGCGAGGCGAAGCAGTCGGATGGCTGATTGGAATGGATCATCTGTGCGGAGCCTTTGACCGTATCCGGTGTTCGTGTGCCCGGTGGGGTCTTGCTCCGGTTTCTCTCCGTCACGTGCCCGACACGGGGCCCAAATATCCCCAACACATGACCTCCCCCCCCCCCCCCAAAAAAAAGTCTTGCGAGAACTCGGCGAAGCTTTTTATTGGTAAAGAGCATCGCCAGCGGTCGTCGTCGTTATAACCTCGGCGATGAAACCAGACGGGCGGCGCTCCGAAGTTCCAAGCAGACGTGTTTTTGTAATTTATTGACAAGTGTGGGGGGGGGGTGGATGTCAGCTAGGAGACACTCGTGCCCTCCCGACTGATGCGAGACGAAGCCACAACGTCTCGTCCAAAGTCGTCTCCTTTTGTATTACAGTATAAAAAAATAAACACAATTTGTCCGTTTTACAGCGGGAGACCTCGATACGACCGAACAACGACGGGTTTTGACCGCGCGCGCGTGCACACACGCACACACGTGCGTGTGTGGGGGCTCAGACCGAGGAGTCCAATTGCGTGTGCCGGTGTTGTTTTTGCAGGATTCCGTGTCGCAGCACAGCTCCGCGACGACTCCCACCGGGTTCCGTCTAAATGTCGCGCGCGCATTTCGTTTTGGCGATTGTTCATTTTTGCCCGATTTTGTTTTTATTTTCGGGCGGCGTTCGCAGGCCGCGCAAAAATGCGGGGCAAATCAAATCGCCAAGGTGGGGGACGGGGGGCGGGGGACGGGGGGGGGGGGTGGGGGACGGGGGGGGACGGGGGGGGGAGCGGGAGACGGGGGGTGGGGGACGGGGGGGGGGGGCGGGGGACGGGGGGGGGGGGCGGGGGACGGGGGGGGGGGGGGGGCGGGGGACGGGGGGGGGGGGGGACGGGGGGACGGGGGTCCCCGCGTTACCTGTTTTTGGGTGCGCATGGCCGTGAAGCTCGCGGTGCCAAAAGGGGGCGAGAATTGACACACTTGGGATCGCGAAGTTGCGAGCCAACGAGACCCAGATGTCCCCTACCGCACTGATCAACCCAGACCCCAGCACTGATCCTCGCCAACCATAACCCCAACTCCACCACCATCCCCTAGCCACACCAGACCCAATATTATGTCCCCTACCGCACTGATCAACCCAGACCCCAGCACTGATCCTAGACAACCATAACCCCAACTCCACCACCATCCCCGAGCTACACCAGACCCAATATCATGTCCCCTACCGCACTGATCAACCCAGACCCCAGCACTGATCCTAGCCAACCATAACCCCAACTCACCACCATCCCCTAGCCACACCAGACCCAATATCATGTCCCCTACCGCACTGATCAACCCAGACCCCAGCACTGATCCTAGCCAACCATAACTCCAACTCCACCACCATCCCCTAGTCACACCTAATTCAATCCAGCTTAACCAGACCTTAAACGAAACCTCTGAGCTTAACCGCACTAACCAAACCAACCCCAGATCTTCACTCCTCCACCAAACAATTCCACCGGAACCCTAACACTACCTCGAAACCGTACGTACCCAATACGATCAAAAACAGGAACTCGATCCCTACCCCCAAACCATACGAGCAGCGCCGCCAATTGCTCGCCCGCTGCGCTGCTGGAGGAAGAGCCCTCCAACTCGGCTAGAAGGTGGCTCGAAAGAGAGGGGGAGAGATCAGAGGTCGCAACCGGGTACCCGATACCTGTACCATACCCGATACCCGGCTTTTGCAACTCTGGTGCGGTACCCGTTTGTGACTCTGGTGCGGCCGAGTACGGGTAGGCCGTGAGTCACTGGTGAGTAACTGTTTGTCACTCATTTCCCAACGTCTTGTCTCTTCTCACAATTCGAGTTCCTAGAATCAACCCACCCGCACCTGCAACATGGCTTCATCCCAGAGGTCGCAATCAGGTACCCGGCCGGGTACGGGTAGGGTACGGGTACGGCCGGGTACGGGTACCCATTTGCGACCCTGGTGCGGCCGGGTACGGGTAAGGAATCAAAACCCGTTTGCGACCTCTGGGAGAGATTGAGACCCTCCGCCCCCCCCCCCGCAGTAACTTTGACTACTCTTTCAGACTGGCCGGACGTCATCTCATAGCTCATAATTTTTACCCCCACCGTGAAATCAACGAACAACTACAACGGAGGCGCGTGGGGCGATCCGTGATTGGAACAATTGTGCGTGTTGTTCCCCCGCCACGCCGAGCTCTCGCGCGTTGCAGACGGAGACGTCGAGAACACAACAGAGACATAGATCGAGGCTCCCGTTACGTTAGCAGCCGTTTTAAAAAATATATATGCGGTAGATCAAAGTTCTTTTTTATTTACTTCTTATTCCCTCTAAAGCGCCGGGAACTGCATTTTGGTCTGCGGGTTTTTTTTTACATCTCGCCCAAGTGATTGCCCTCGGGGGAGAGCACTTTAGTTTGTATTTATATATATAACGAACGATCCGCCCCGAAGAAACAAACGTTACATTTTGTTGTTGTTGTTGTAATAAAAATGCGGTAACTTAAGGCAGCCCTCCTTATATACACAGCCATTATTATTTCTGTACAAACAACAGCAGCAGTGCATGCAGCGAACACAAGGAATAATAAATAACAGCCTGCGTGTTTTAGTTTTAATTGTAACTCCACACCCTGCTGAGTATCATCCTCCTGCCTTAGCTGTAACGCGCCTTTCGTCGTGTCCCCCCACCGCCACCACCATCCGTGACGTCTCAACGACGTCACCCCCCAAACAGAAACGACGGCACCGACGGTGCAACAAAGGCGGTCCCGCGGGGTGACACGAGATTTTTTCGTAAAATATTCCTCTAGGTTTGGCGTGGTTGTGCCGTGTGCGGAGTGGTAATGAACACCTCTGTCGCCGGCGCGTTGTTCGCAACGGTGTCCGACGTTTCGCTTGCACGTCCCGGGTGCTTCTTCCGGGTGGGTAAAGTAAAAAAGAAATGACCAGCTGGAGAATGAATGAATGTGTCCTGCTAAATGATGCTGACAAACGCGGATCTTGGCAAGCGAATCCTGCCTGGCACAACACACACTTTTTTAATATTTCATTTTTGGACAACCGTTTAAAAAGTGAATTTTTATTATTTATTGGTTAATAATGAGTTCAAAAGAAAGTTAACAAATGAAAACAAAACCTTCGTTTGCTCGATACGCGAGCGTCATGCGGATCTTCGGGGCGGCCGCTTCATATTTTATTCAGCGATAATTCCCACAATCTGATTCGGAGCATTTGCCACCATCTCATCTGCCAAGACGCACCATGGTGCAAGCGCTCCGATTTTTCTAAACCGATGCAACATCCTTCTACTTATGTTAAAAACGTCTTGTCGGCGTTACAACCGCGTAGATAATTCTTTTCGTTGTTGTGCCATACGTCTCTCCGGTGCTTTTTCCGTAGTTGCGCCACGCAACGCCCGTAGCGGTCCAACAATTCGGTCAAATCCACGCGCTTGGGACGCTGAAGACGCCGCGCTGCGCAAGGCACGCCGCTGTTGAGCGAACACGCGGCACACAACCCCGCGCGAGGAGACAATCCCACTCGAGTTGTCTCTCGTTATTTTGCCGCTTCCGTTCGTTAGCCTCGCCGCAGCGTCTGCGCGTCGCCCTTGCATATCGTTTGCTCGACACGACGTCGATTCCGACGCGCGCCGTCTTGACGCTACGTAACGCGCGTGCGTGCGCGTCCCGAAGCGCTCGCGACACCGACGCGGAGGACGATATTTTGGCATCGTTTTGGCGTCGCCGGAGCGATCGGCTTTCGCGCAAACGTCCCGATGGGTGCGCGCCTCCCAACATCCCCCGTGCGCGCGATGGTGCCGAGCCCTCGCTTATTGCACCTTCGACTCGGCGGAAACGGTGGGGTGCATGGCGGCACGGCGCACTTGTGCCGCCCTCCGAAGTCGCAGCGCCGGGCAGCCAGGGTGGACGTTGGCTGCCGGCACCTGAGCTGCCCCACATCCCCCTTACTGGCTCTGGCTTCTTCCACCCCCCCCCCCCCCAACTCTGGCTTGGGACAGCTTCTGTCTCTCGCACGCACACACTTTATTGCATCTTTTCGTGAAGCACAACGGCCCCGCTGGCTTGATGGCACTGCTCGTCCACCGCCGCTACCTTTGCTGGCAAACTCCCAACAAATGTGTCCTTGGTGTGGTAGCCGATTTTCTCCCTACCCCTTGCAAATACACAATACATGGTACATCCCTGGATCTCCAATCCCCCCCCCCCTCCATCCCCATCACCACCACGCGGTAAATTCCTCTCCACTGCTGTTCCGGGACCCTTCTCATCACGGGCGACAGAGTCGCAGTGTTCCGCTCGATTCCAAATCGTTAGCGCAATCCAAAAAAGAAATCATTGGGCGGGAGGAACAAAGAAAAATAACGATTTTTCGCATCTCTTGGCTGTTGGGCCAACAACATTCCCATCTCCCGGCGCCGCGGGTCCCTGCAGTTGTCCGTCTTGCCGGTTGTCCGCCGTTGTCCTTTGCGGCCGAAGCCGCCGTTCGGGGAAGAGTTTTTAGTCCCGTTCTCCGGCCGTCGAAGCGTTCACCGTCGTCGTCGTCTCGTTAATTTTTTTGGCCTCAGACATGTGTCTCGACGAACGCAGGCAGATGATTGGACGCCTTGGGCGCCCGCGGGGGGTCCTGATTGCAGATGACGTCACATGGCGTCGCCGGGGGCGACTGCTCGCACGCGACTGTAGTCATCATCTGGCCCTGGAGACACATTGGCAACAAAATGGTTGGTTTTATTTCACCCCCCCTCCCCTCCCTCCTCTCTCTCCCAGTCTTCCCTAATTCACGACACAAAACGAATATCCGTCTGGGAATCTCGCAATAACGCGTCCATCACCGTGTTCGACACTGGCCTGTGGAAGTAGCTAACAGGGAACTACTTCTGAGATCTCTCAGCTGTGACAGCTTTAAATCCGCACACGCCCTGCTCGGCATACGCGCTTGTGGCGTGGTCGTCAACCAAAACAATGTATCGTTTCAATTCTCCAAGGAGGTGGAATTTGAACTCCTGCGCAGTTGCTTGACCACCATTGAGTCCCCCCCCCCCCCCCCCCCCCGGTCTCAAGCCAAGGTTAGGCAACCGAGACCCAGATTACAAACCTAGGATCGCAGCGGCCGTGCCAGCTCGATTCTCTGACCTAACGAGCACCCTCACCTACTAAAGCGGAAACCGTTTTGACGTGCGTCACCATCAGCCGGCCTCTCCATCCCTAAAGACCGACGAGAGAGTCCCGGCCACACGCCACACCTTGTGCACGTGGCCGTGCGGAGGGGTGTGGTTGGCCGGCTGGTGGTGGTGCTGCTGCTGCTGCTGCTGGTGCGGCCGGTGCGTGGCTGGTGTCGGGCCGGGCGACGACCGCTCGATGGGGGACAGCGGTGGTGAGAAGGCGTCCGACGATGGGAAGTCGTCGCCACCACCGCCGCCGCCACCGTAGTCCCCGTATACCGCGCCGTGATCGCCCACTCCCAGCGTCCATCCTGCGGCAGCGTCACCACGCGGGGGATGGGGGGGGGGTCACACGTGATACGGAGAGCGTGGGCCCATGGTAGTAATAATAATGTTTTGTTTTTTGATAGAGCCGCACTCTTACAAACGTCAGCTTTAAAGGTCACGCATCACGACTCAACTCAACACGTTGGAAAGGGGCACCCCCCCAAGTGGCAGCTGTTCCTATGGGCCCAAGGTGATTTTGGCTCGTAATTCATCGGGGGGTTGGTAAAAACGAGTTAGCTCTGTGGAGAAGGAAACGGCGATTGTCTAATGGATGGATTCGCCCCAGCCGTTGGAACGTGGAATTTACATCACTGCCTTAGGGCTGTAAACAGAAGATGAGCATCAATGCCTCATCCGGCACCGTGCATTGGACACTGAGGGCACAGGAATCAACTTTTTATCAGCGCATCATTGTAAGACGTCACCACCCAACCGGCGGCACAGCGCGGCGAGGGGTCAGCGGTTAGTGGAGGTGTTCATGGCACGGTCGTGCAGCATTAACTTAGCCGGTGTTTTCCAGCGAACAAACAAAATCCGCACATCTCGGCGGCGACGAAAAATGTTCGCCGCCTGCTTATCGACCAGAGGGACTGGAATGCCGACGACAACGACGATGCTGGGCGTACAGTGGCGGCGGCGTCGCGAGCGTTACCCTGCACGCGGGCGTCCTGGTCCGTCGCCGGGGGCCGCCCCCCTCCCTGCGGCACGCGGATGAGGAAGCGCCCCGCCGGAACGGGCTTGCCGCTCACCACCGCGTAGTTCCGCGGCACGTATATGGCCGGCCTCTCCGTGCCGGCATCTCCGTCCTCGTCCCCTGCTGCTACTCCACCTCCTCGTCCTCCGTCGTCCACCCTGGCGATGTCCTCCGCCACCACGTCGTAGTCGTCGTTGGGTGCCACCGACAAGAGGCGGGGTCCGGTGGACACCGCCGACGCCGCCACCGCGTTGGGCGTGCGGCGCCAGCTGGAGGTGGCGACGGGCCGGCAGTATGGCTGGGCACGGTTGGGTGGCGACGGCGGCGGCGGGAAGGCGCCGGTGGCGCCGTACGCGTTGGGCGACGCGGCTCGCGCGCGGTTGTTATTGCCGCCGCTCCCATACGCCTGCCCGCCCGCCGCCGGCGTCGCTGGGTTTCCGGCGCCGCCGTAAGCCGATCCTCGCGCCGGCGAGGCCGAGTGGTTGCGCGCGCCGGCGTAGGCGGAGGAGGAGATGGCGGCGGTGCCGGCGGCGGTGCCGGTGGTGGTGGTGGCGGCGGGAGCGTTGAGTCCGCCGGGTGACCCGATCATGTCCTGCCATGACTGGCGCTCGGCGAAGCCGCGGGAGCTGACCGTGTCGAGCGAGGACTGGCGCCCGTGCTTCGCCTCCGTGTAGGAGCCGGACGACGAGTTGTTCTGTGGGGACGACAGGGGTTCACTTCGTCGGTGACGTCAGCGTCGTTGTCGTCAACGTCACTGTCGTGAACTCGTGACGTCACGATGCCTGCTTCAGCGGCCAGGACAGGTGACGCAATTGTTCGGACTTCCTGTTTTCATGAACGGACACTGCGTGGCGCAGTTTCAAGCGAAACATCGCACATATATATGCCTAACCGCTGAGATTTTGTTACTCGACTCACCGGTGAGGTGAGCGGAAACGATCGTAATTGGCATGTTTGTTTTAAAGCCCGAGCACCAGTTCCATGCTAATTTTCACTTTAACATCACTAGACCCAGCCACTCCTTTATAACCCTTGGCCTACACCCATTTCAAACCTTTAAAACAGTCTGCATCAGCAGCAGGCCATGCTTTCCCACCTGATGACAGACGTTTGTGTTGCGCCCGAAACATCGTGATATATTTTATTTTATTTTTATACCTACGTGACTTTACCGAGAGAACCAAAGAGGATGCACCACGTGACAATTAAATTAGTTGGGCTACGTCGGACGGTGGCGGAGGGTCTTAACGCAACATTTGTTCAGATCGTGACGTGTCCTAAACCCAAAAATCAAGCCGCATCCAAAAAATATATTCAATTATCAGTCTAAGCAACGCTTGCATCTCTGCAGCTATCCGTCTGCCCGTCTGTACGTGAATTGAATGCGTAAGCAAACCAACACAGCTCGCTCTCTCTCTCCCTTACATATTCATCAAGCTGCTGTTCCCTGCAAACATTGCACCGCATTGCTTCGCCTCCGTGGTTTTCTCTCACTCATCTGGCAACTCCCGACATTTTTTTTCTGCAAGGCTCGGCAATTTATTTTTGCTAGTTTATTTTCCTCTGATGAAAATTGCAACCTAAGCGAGCGAGCACCGGGGGGGGGGGGGGGTACAATGGGATAAATCAAAATGTTCCAATTCTGGCCAATTTAATTTACATTTTTTCCCCCAACGGCCTCGCCAAACCCGGGCACCGACAAAACACGCACCGTCATATTGCAAGTAAGACACACAAAAAAATTACGCTCGCGCATAGATGACAACACGGCTCGAGGAGCGTGGGACGAAGTTTCCGAGACGGCGCACCGCCCCCCCCCCCCCCCCCTCATGAACCTTTAGCGTCGGTTCGCATCTGTAGTTGGGTGCAACCACCCCCCCCCCTTTCGATGATCGTGACCGTAACTTCACACGGACGTTCCACGTAAAATCGGTTCGTCTTCACGAGTTAGTGTCCCGCCCCCCCGCCCCCTCCTTACCCCCACGGCCCCCCACTCCTGTCTTCCTCCCCCAAACCCGCACCTCAGATTAGCAATTTTGGTTGCATATGGTGCAAAATAAGTTCTACATACATGCTCTACACAACCCTCCCCCACCCCCCGTTACAGATGGACAGGGCCGACGCAGCAACTCTTTCAATCTTCCTTGGGAAGTGTTATAGAGCTGTCCCGCTCTTAATTGTGTTGCGCTCAGCTGTGAGCGTGGAAGGAATTGGCAGCCGCTGGGCTAGAATTGAGCTGTTGACATGGGGTGACAGGGATAACGGAGAGGGTTAGTGGGGGGGGGGGCGGAGGGATCGTTGCGGTGAGACGTTCGGAACTCACGGAGGGCGGCCGAGGAAAGGTGTCGTACGGGGGTGGGGGGCTCTCCCTCACCTCTCCCTCCTCCCCGTCACTCTCGCTCCAGTAATCTGCATGTGCAAGCGGGGGGGGGGGGGGGGGTACAGCAGGGAGGCAGGTTCAGATTCTGTGGCACGCGCAGGCTGCAAACCGCGTGCGTATACCGCGTGTGTGCAGGTGAGGGCTGTCCACGAACTCCAGACACAGCGGCAGGGGGCACGCACTCACAAACGTGTTCACAGTGGTCTGTCTGTGTGTCTATCCGTGTGTGTGTGTGGGGGGGGGTGTAGCCGTTAGCACGCTGCGCTAGGGACCCGGCGATCCGAGTTCGATTCCCGCTTATGGCCAACACCAGTGACAAATATCTGAACCGGTCCCTGGCCTCCCCTAGGTCGACTCCAGCTTCAAATGAATGTGTAAACATCGCCACTTTGGAGGCAAAGGTGGCCAGGCGTAGTGCTGGCCACCCACCCCCTCCGTGTGCCGTGTGGGTCTTCATAGGCACTCGCTAACAGTCTGGTGAGGCTATGGCGGGGTGTCTTTATCTTCGTACCTTCATCTCCCCTCCGTGCCCCCTCGTGCGCTGACGTTGCCTGACTCAGCCTGTTCATCCACCTGGGGGACCCGATGACAACACAGACAGGGCCAAGGCGAGTCTTCAGTTTGCGAGCAGCGATTAAGGCTCCGATGCCTTTGTCTGAACCGGTTGCCGATGGCCATTCTCTAACACAAAAAGCTCCGAATGGATTCACCTTTGACACAATGCCGATAACGCAATCGAGATACACGATTGGGGAAAAGTGCCAAACGTTGTCAAAACTATTCACAAAACAACTGCCAAACAACGGTGATAAAAAAGTGACACTTTCTCTGTTAAAACTTGAACTTTTTGTGGCACCCTGTATTTAAAGCACAGGTATGAATAAAATCATCACTTAGCCACACATGAAACCCAACGCTGGAGTCCTGCGGCTGAAATCAAATTCCTTGCAGTTAAAAATTCCCTTGCAGACTTCACTTCCATATTTCTTTAGCACCAAAGATTGGAAGTTCTAGCCGAATCGAGCAGGGTTTTCAAAATAAGTTTGCCGTCACGTGGAGCCTGCGGTGAAGAAATTCAGTGAGGCTTTCCTGGGACGTAAAACACATTTTATATTACTGGTGTAATAGACCTAAGGACTTGCTGTAAAAGGCAATGAGTTATTGTTGTTGTTGTGGCAAAGCGCAGAGCAGTCTGGCCCCAGGAAATGTCAACTGTCCATCTGCAGTGTTTGTAAATTAGGTAAACATTGTTTTTATTTCAAGAGTCAGTCTCGGTCTAGTTGACGGCAACACGTGGATTTTTTGCCAAATCTTCAAAGCGTTTGTGGATTCAATTTCCAAAATTATAATCCGCCCAGTCGACTGCATCGGCAAAAATGATGTAGTCAAACACTTAATGTATTAAGTCAAGTCACCCAATCAGTGAACTTGGTCAATGTGCTGTGAAGAAGAGAGACATCACCTGAAATGTCGCGTACTATATATTATCTTTTAAGGCCACACACTGTTACTGACGAATGAAGCGAGGTTTTTTTTTTTTTTACACTTACAAATAGCCAATTACCATTTTTGTTATCCCTCATGGCACAGCAGTCTCTTAATAACCCTGCTAAATTATCTCAATCTGCGTCTCCTTCGTTCGGACTCATTAATTTCGTCTCGTCGTCACCCACCGCTGAGCCTCTGGTCTCTGGTGGGCAACACAAGTCGCAGTCAACATCGCCACGTTCCGATTTCCCCCCCCCCCCCCCCCCCCCCCACTTCGTGGTCGACGCTAAAACCGGCGAAATATTTTCGTCGGTTAATTCCACGAAACCGAATAGAACGCTCGTTTTTGCACGCGAAATCGGCGAGTCGATAGGCCAATCGCAGATCTCGCGAGGATGCCGCCGCCGCCACCACCACCACCACCGCCGCCGCCACCGCCCACTGCCGCCACCACCACCGCCGCCGCCACCACCGCATTCCCTCTCCACCCACGACACGCTCCGCGCTAATTGCTCCACCGCTCACTCACCTGTTCATCTCGTCGTTGTTTTCGGCCGCGAAGTAAAACGGCTTCAGCTTGGGGTGCGACGCTTTGAAGGCACTTGGTGGGTGGAATTTTATTTTTTTACGGGGTGGGGGGGGGGGGGGAGGAAAAAGGGCAAAGCGGGGAAGCCGTCATCATTTGAACCGTGCGGACGGACGGGGTTGGTGGCAGGTGAAACCAGGGCCATCCTTAGGTGGGTGTGGGAACCGGGGCAAATCACACGGTGTGGGGTGCCTCCTCCGACGCTTTCAAACTAAAGCGATAAGCGTTACATTTGACACGGTCTCGCCGAAGCACGGGGCGCCCCCCAAAGCACGGGGCCCAGGACAGTCGCCCAGATTCGCCCTACCCCTGGGGAGAGGCTCTGGGTGGAACACTGAAGCAGCAGCCGCTCTCCTCTTCCGGTGTTTGTGGCGCCGTAGTCACGCGTCGTTAGAGCAGATCAAAATACTTCCAATGTATTATTCTAATTTTAGCAGCACGTTTCCTACAGCGTATGACCCTGACTGCCAAATCCCCAGCAAATATCTGGTGAGAGACTTTGGAGTGGACAGCATCACTGTGGGGACCTCGGTGACACCTGGCTGCAATTAGGAGCTAGAATTACATCATCATGACATCTTCGAGTTGATATATCCATGGTGGTGGTGTCAAAATTCCGGTGATGTCATCCACATTCGCGCAACTTACTGTGTGGGTGTAAACTCCATGACTTCTATATTCTTGTTGTAACTTTCTGACCCACCCCACCCCCCTTCTGGACATTATGCCTGTCAACCCCTTATCAGTGCCCCCTAAGGCCATAGCCATGGAGTCAACATTGGGGGGGACCAAATCTTCCAGGGTGTCTGGGAGTCCCAACCCAGAAAAATATCTAAATTTGAAAACTAATTTCCTGCCTAAAAATATTAAAAAATTTACTAACACATGGGATGGACTTTTTATTTTTTATTATAATTTTTTATATTTCTAATAGTGTATTGTATTACATTGCTATGTTTTTACTTTTTTTTTTACCATTTCTTGTTTCAATGTATGCAATGGTAGAGATTATTGATTAATAAAGTACAACCATAACCACAATCATATAAACAGCAATCTATGCATTGATTTATATGAAAACAAGTCCAGATATTGTGGCCCAGGTTTAGCAAATTGTTGTTTTTATTTACATAGCATAGCAATTAATATTACATTTTTATATATTTTATAGCAATATATTGGGGGGGACATTTTGAGCATATTTGAATATTGGGGGGAGACCTTGGTGCCCCCTACCTTATTACCGATCAATTCAGACCTTAATGGTCACCCCGTACCCTTATAAATTGCAACGTTCATCGTACGAAGTCTCATCATAAGGGAGAAACACAATTAATTGTTTTGCCCGTATTGAAACAGCTGTATGCCGTCTGGATCTGAACTCAATTTCGCTGTACAACAATACGGGTAAACCGTATGGGTTAACAGGTGTGGGACATCTGTGAAAAAGAGCTTCATATGGCTCATCGGATTTCTCCGGTATAAATAAAGATGCCGATTTTGATACACTCTTGTCTCTAGCTGAGGTTTCCCTGCACACCCACGTGTGTGTGCGTGTGTGTCCAGGTATGGCGGAGTGGTAGTACAGCGGTTAGCGCTACGAAACCTGGCAACGCGAGTTCGATTCCTGCTCACGGCCAAGACCTGTGACAATTATCTGAACCGGTCCCGGACCTCCCCTGGGTCAACTCGGCCTCAAATGTGTACCTAGTGCGGTGTGTAAACATTGCCACGAGGAAGACAAAGGCGGACGGGCGTGGTGTTGGCCATCCAACCCCCTCTCGTGTCGTGCAGGCCTTTATAGGTGCTCGCTAACGGCAGTCTGTTACAGGCTATACGGCACTTTGTCTTTGTCCAGGTATGCTCAGCCCCCCACGTCTGTGGCCAAGTCGGGGAGGACGGTAATCACTCACTGTTTGCGCTTGCACTCAGTGGCAGGGGCGATGGTGAACTCGGGCAGGCTGATGTAGCCCTCCGCCTTGATCTCCTGCCAAGGGGAAACGTGGACACGGAGAGAGAGAGAGATGTGACACAGCCACACTTCTCGGTATTGATGATGACCACACAATGTCGAGCGCGTGATTGTTTAACCGGCTAGGCCTCGCAACGATTCAGCAATTCGATACTTTGTCGCGCGATTTGGGTGGGGAGGGGTTTGAATTCCATTCAGGAATCATGACAATTCATTGAAGCAAGATGAGAGCTAGTTGTTACACACGCATAGTTAACATGACCCTACCAAAAATGATGAGAATTCCAAATTCATTACATCCTTTTGGCTTGCTCCATCTTCCGAACTACCCTCCTTCATAATCCACAGCACAATTCCCAGTTTGAAAGAACTCTCCAGTTTGTATGACGATAAAAGAAAAGAAAATTCCGTTAGGTTTTGAAACGCAACAAAAAGTAGGCAACAAAAAAGAAAAATAGAGGCAGGTGAGAGCCCATTGGGTCCGCTGCCTTGTTTTATACGAGCAACCTGACTCGGTTTGAAGTCTAAATGCCCTCCCCTGGGCAGCACTTTCACGTGCTATGGCAACCTAATGATGCGAATTCTCCCCTTCCCTAAAGTCCTTATCATTTAAACGGTGCTCATCCTTCCAAGGCCCTCATCCTTCTCAAGGCCCAACTCCGACTGTGCAGTCGTCCTTCTCCGGCCCAGTAAACGTGCATGTGGCTGGGCTAACGTTGGTCCAGCAGTTCCGACCACGTGCCAATGTTGGCCCAACGGTGTTATATTTACTCGCATCCGTCCCCAGGGCTTCATCATTCCCTAGGTCCCTCGTCCTTTAAAATCGAGATTGAAAACTCGTTTCTTTAGAACTGCTTTGTGTTTAGTTTCTTGATCCCCCCCGCCCACACCTCCGATTCGCACGTCTTGGCTAGGTACAATGCGAAAAAAGTTCAACATTCCTACGTACATACATCCATGTACATCCTAAAATCGATTTATCCGACGTTTTTCATACATCGCACGCCTTTGGTTGCGTATCCGCGGCCGTCTGGAACGCTCTTCCTTCCGATGTTAGGAAGCCATTGAGAGCTATGCCACTTCTTTTTTTTAAATATTCCCCCCCATTTACATCGCCGAGAAGCCGGGGGGGGGGGTGATGAGGGCGAGTACTCACATTGTGCTGCGTGTACCAGTAGAGGGCACCGTCCTTCAGGACAAACCAGTGCTTCTTCCACTTGGGCGTGAGCAGCCCCTTGGACTCGCGCTTCTTCCAGAGCCACCCGTCGCAGTCGGGCCTGCCCAGCTCCACGCACGGCACGGTGCGCCGGCTGGGGCCGCCGTCACCGCCCGCCACGCTGGCAGCGACCGCGGCCGCTGCTGCCGCCACCGCGACAGGAGGGAGGGGAGGGAGGGGAGGGAGGGAGGGAGGGGAGGGGGAGAGGGAAAGAAGGTTGGGAAGATGGTCAACGTTCGTAATTCGTCGTCTGCTGCTGCGGTGGTGGTGCATGCGGAGCGAGTATATCACGACGGATGGCATGTTTAAAAAAAAATTATTATTACTTAAATGTTAGGATTGTTGCTATTTGTTTCACATTTCAGATTCCGTACATTAACACCCACTTTGGAATTCTAAGAATGACCCGAAGCATTAGTTCCACGATTGCAGCGTTTCATTTGCGTGTAAATATTTAAGTGAACAAGTTTGGCAACTGTTGCCCAGATTGTTGGTCCCGGGTTTTTTTTATGTCCGCGGTTTATATCATCTGATCCGGGAGTTTTTAACCCTTCCTTCACATGTAGAAAATTATAGGTATGTTGGATGTATCGATTAAACTCATTATTAAAATACATTTTTACTTTCCTTGAAGCGTGCCTGCGAGAATGCATTCGCTGTTATATTCACATGTCGCATATGTTACATTAAACCTGGATTCTCCGAATGTAGTAATTTGACTGCGCACAAAAGCCCCGTGGTTTAAATTCAGTTTGCCACTTAAAATTTGGCTCAATTGCAGATCATGAAATATGAAACCGACCGACAAGAAAGGAAACGATTTTGCAACATAAATGACCTGTGAAGGGATTGTTTAGAGAACGGTTCTGTGCGGCTCATCATTTTCGGCCCGTTCTCTAAAACAAATGTGATCGGGGGGAAAAGACAAAATAATATTTTTGAAGACAATAAAATGTTGTTTGACAACAGTGGGTTGTGGCTGTGGGCCAACTGGACCCCGGGCCATATGAATGTGGAATGTCCTCTACGGGCTCGTCAGGGTGGTCAACAGAGACGACCCACCTATTTTTAGCCATCTCTGAAACCGTATCCTCGTATACGCATGGCACGTGCAATTAATTATACACGACCACACTTGCTCACAATGGTCGACACGCACAAAAGACAAAGGGTCACCCGCATAGCCTGAACAGGCTGTCGGGGAGATGACTGTTACCGAGCACCTATTAAGGTTGGCACGGCACACGAGGTGCTGATGGGTGGCCAAGACCACACCCGACCGCCTTTGCCACGTGGCAATGGTTACAAACCGCACCAGGTACTCATTTGAGGCCGAGTCAACCTAGGGGAGGGCCCAGGACAGGTTCAAATAATCGTCACTGGAGTTGGCCGTGAACAGGAATCAAACTCTGTTGGCCAGGTTCGTTGCGCAGAGCGCTAAGCTATGCTACCAGACCCATAAACACACACACAAAGATCCCCCGTATAGCCTTTAATAGACTGTTGGGGCAAGTGCTGTTTACGACAAAAACAAAGATCCCCCATATAGCCTGAACAGATTGTTGGGGCAAGAGCTATTAGCGAGCACCTATCAAGGCCGGCACGGCACACCAGGGGGTGGGCAGCCGCCTATGTCTCCCTAGTGGCGATGTTTACACACCACACCAGGTACTCATTTGAGGCCGAGTCGAACTAGGGGAGGGCCCAGGAGCGGTGCAGATAATCGTCACTGGTTTTGGCCATGAGCGGGAATTGAACACGGGACACTGGGTTCGTAGCGCAGCGCGCTAACCGCTACACGACTGCTCCCCAGCTGTTAACGAGCACCTACACACACACTTGGAAGTACATTCCTTAAAAAAAAAATCAAATAAAAGGTAGCAGCAGTAGCAGCGGCTGCCGGCATCGCCAAAGAGGAAATCGAAACAAAGGAATAATCACCTTTAACGGCCAGCCGCGCTTTCTGTCTTGCGGAGAGCTGAGAGAGGGTGGGGAGGAAATGGCATAAAACAGGAGAGGAGTTGGGGGGGGGTGTGGAACGTCGTCACGAGCCAGACAATCGCGAGAGAACGATCCCGCCACTCTGCCGGCAATTCTGTCAGCCCAGAGATGACATTTACTTTGACAGAATAATAATAGTCATTCGCACATGTGGAAGAAAAAATATATAATTGTTTTTTTTTACCCTTATCAGGCTTCTTGCGTAAAATGTTTGACAAATGTAAAAATTATTTTTTAGTGCCATTTCGGAAAGAGTTTTTTTTTTTTACACACTGAAAAATATATTGACATTTTGTGTACTGGATAAATGGCCTTCAGTCTTGCCGATGAGACTTTTGGAGGTCAAAAAGCCGACTCAAGAGTTTGCCTGCTTCAAGATTGGGCCGTGGTGTCCAGAAAACCGACGGATGAAGACGAATGGAATTTTCACAAATGAGTAGCTACTCTAATAGTTTCGTTTTGCGTGCGCTTATTTAAAACAACTGCTCATCAGGAAACATTTGAAACATGTAATTCCCACCAGGCCCCCATGATGTTCAATTCTTATTTATCCACCACCTGGCTTGTCCGTGCGCTTTGAAGTAGGGCCATTGCCTGAAACGTCACCTATAATATAGCCACAGTGGCGCAATGTTAACTACCTCGCCTGGTATACAGGAGGTCGTGGGTTCGATCCCGACCCTGACACCTGCATATTTGGAGTTTGCGTGTTCTCCCCGTGGTCGCGTGGATTTTTCTCTGGAGACTCCGATTTTCCCTCCGCATTTAGAATCAACGTGCGTTTAGAGTATTTGGCTGCTATACATTTGCACGTGATAAGCCACTTCGTTCGTTGAGCTATCATCTGTTGGCCAGGTCGTTTCTGAAAAAGAGCTACATAGCTCAGTGAGCCTTACCTGGTAAAATAAAAAAATAGTTTAGTTTAAATAAACAAAGACTTTTTGTTACAGGACCATTATTGACGAATGTGTTATTGTTTTGCTATGTGTTATTGTTTACCACTGCCGCAGCAGCAGCAGCAGAAGCCACAGCAGCAGCCGCAGCATCAAATTATTTGTTTCATGTATGTGTTGGATTGGCCAGGGTGGAACAATTGCATGGCCCCTGCGTTCGCCTGATATAACCCCACTGGATACTCTCTCGTTGTGGCGTTACATCAAAGACTGTTTTGTGTGTGCATGCAGGCGCGCACTGTGCGCGCGTCTGTGCGCGTGACAAAGTGTACGGGGGGTGAGTTTTAAGGATTTAATAAGTGCGCATTCAAGACCGGTGGGAAACATGTACCCAGTGCAGCATGCGACGTTGGGCCAACGTTGTGGTTATGCGTCGGAACCCTAGCACCAGCGTTCCATATTTAATGGGCAGGGGGCCTCAACGTTTTCTCTGTAATTCCTGCACACTATTTTGGTAGGGCATCTATAAATGGATCACCGTCTGTAATCTCAATGAACGTTCCTGCCCGTTCGTTATATATATTTGTCACAACGGACTTCCTGGCAGCTCGTGATGCCTTCCCTATTTTTTTTTTACTGCCACCCCCTGACCGCCACACAACCCTACAGGTAGATGTCTCGGATGCAAGATGATGCGTGCGAACCGCTACGCGAATATTCCGAACTCGCAACGATGATTTCTGAAGGTAATTATCAAACCCCCATCGACAATGAGCCCCTGATGTTGAAGACGCTTTCTCGCCAACGACTCTCAGTAGGGAAAAGTGCAAAGTTGATCTCGGATTCTGTTCGAATGCCACATTTACCACTGCCAATCTGGAAAAAAAACTCCTATTGTTACATTTCTGTCAGGGCTGCATGGTGTTTACAGTATTTTGTATGGTGCAGTCTCCAACTGTTATTCACTCAGTCTCTCTGGCCTGTTTATGTGCTATAATGGCCTGTTTACGTGCTATAAAGAAGGGCCGTTGCCAAAAAATCTCACCCATTACATATTTTCTTTCCTTTCGAGGCCCACAACACAGTGTTATTAAGCAAGAACATTTATAAACGCGCAACTCTAAATACCTAGGTTGCGTTGGACTTCTGTATTTGTGCGTTGATGTACCACGGCCATCGTAGTTACCACACAAAACATTTCATCCGATTCCCAGCCACCTTGTACCATGCATGACCTTCGTTTCAAACAACAACTCGCTGACCAGTTACACGCCTCGATACTGCCCCAAGTAACAGGTACGGTGAGGCCGATTGGACCGCTGCCTCAAAGAAAAGATCTTGGCCATTGGAGGTGGTCGAATTTGAAAAATTTGACGGCGTCGAGACGAAGTGAACCTGAAAGCGTTCCATAACATATATCGACGGGCGATTTGATTAAAACAATTATTAACGCCCGAGGAAAGAACATGTGACACAGAAAGCCTGAGGCATGCGGTGTGCATAATTGGTTTTCGGTGGCACGTGCACACCGCAGTGACCCTCCGCACACCCGCAGTCACCCCCACGAAATTACAACGAGAGAACAAAGCCCTTTGATCGTTCCCCCGCCTGGAAACAATCCCACGTGACCCTCCTCCTCCTCTTCCTACTTGGCCCACAGGGTCCACCTGCCACCCCCACCGATTATTCCCTTCAAATCCACGCTCTACCACAGCTCCGGGACGTTTTAAATTCTTATTCTTCTTCTACTTCCACCTGCTACAATAAGCACCGTCGCTCCTCCAATTGTTTTTAAACCAACCTTGTGAAAATGATCGAACGAAGACGACTGCGAATGTGTTGATGTAACAACTCGGCGTCCCACGGGGGGGGGGGGGGGTATTAGTGGCTATGCTGTCGTGCTGCTGTACGACTCTCTGATGTGCTCCCCGGTTGCGCCGTACAACGTTCGGCACGATGTTCGAAGTTTCCACCCCCCCCACCCGAAAACTACGTGTATTTTACAAGGTCAGGCCCACTGAGCTCTTTGTTTGAGAAGCGACCTGGCCACAAATGACGCCTCAACGAATTTATAGCAGCTAAAAACTTTAAATGCGTGATGTTGATTCTAAACGTGGAGGAGAAAAATCCACGCGACCACAGGGAGAACATGCAAACTCCAAATAGACAGCAGGCGGCAGGATCGGGATCGAACCCACAACCTCCTGCATACCAGGAGAGGATGTTAACATCTCGCCACCATACAAACTCCAAATATACAGCAGGCGTCAGGATCGGGATCGAACCCACGACCTCCTGCATACCAGGCAAGGATGTTAACATCTCGCCACCATGCAAACTCCAAATATACAGCAGGCGTCAGGGTCGGGAACGAACCCACGACCTCCTGCATACCAGGAGAGGATGTTAACATCCCGCCACGACGACTCCCCCCCCCCCCCCTCCATCCCCCTCCTCTCAGCATGTGGAGCAAAAATGTCGAATAGCGTTTCGTGTAACACACTGGGGGAGGTAAGGCCGGAGCCTATCAGCTACTAAACACATTTGGCACGGAGGGTTTCTCCTGCTTGATACACTACTTGGATGGGTGGAGCCTGGGATTACCAGGTGTTTTATAGCGGCTTGGACTGCGAGGTGACCACGTTTATAGCAGTACAGCGACGGATGTTTATATCCTGCGCGCCTGGCGGGGTTTTCTCTGGCTTCCCCTACACAAGCCAAACATGAAATGAATTTGGCCGAACGTGGCGATACAACAGGAGCCTCCTGCAAGCGACGTGGGGCTCGGATGAACTTTTCTGAATCGATATATATGGCCTGGTATTTTTGTAGATACAGCACGAATTATACACGTGCGCACTGACCTGCGACCGGAGCTCGTATCCCAGACACGGCTAACATCAGCGGCAAGTGGTGGTTAATGAGTGTAATAAGTAAAATGTAAAACAAAAACATGAACAATGACAGCCAAATGAACAAATGAGTTACCTATTTCTACTCCAAGATTTTTCCTATGTGCGTGGCCAACGTGGGCTAGTAGGCCAAATATCCTGCAGAGAGACTTCTCTGATCGGGTGAGCCTCTCCGGCCAACAGGAGCCAAGATAATAATTGAAGGGCTGCGCCTCTTGCTTTCTCACAGCAAGGACCAGTTGGTTGGCTGATCTCATCTCTCCCTCGTCCTATCGTCTCTCTCGCGCTCGTCGGCACCACTCGTCGCCCGAGCGACCTCTCGGCTCGGCGATCCCTCCGCGAGCCGAAACCACGATCCCGGCTCCTACAAACGCCTCCGATGCCCCCTGCAGCAGCAGCGGCGGCGGCAGCAGCGGCAGCGTCGGTTGCACGCACGGCGAGAGTCGGAAACTCGCTCACGGCTTCTCTTTAATTTTATCCTTTCAAGTCACGCGCCTTTTTTTCCAAACACGCCCCCACCCCCCCCCCCCCCCCATGTATTTGAGGGTGTAGCACAGAGCCTCGCCTCTCCAATGCTCTTTGATGCTGCCCATGGGGGGGTTTGCTAATATGAATGCCCATGCATTACCAAGTGTCTCCTGGTACTGGGCTGCCAACCCTGGTGGGGAGGGGGGGGGGGGTGCCCTGTTCACTCACAGTCGGTGAGCCGGGATGGACTCCCGTCTTGCCGACCACTTTCACGGCAGGCGGCCGTGGGGTTGCAACCTCGGGAACCTGCCTTTGGTTTTCACCGACACAGCAGGACCAGAGGTCGCAAACGGGTTTTGATTCCTTACCCGTACCCGGCCGCACCAGGGTCGCAAATGGGTACCCGTACCAGGCCGGGTAGGATACGGGTTACCCGTACCCGTACCCATACCAGGCCGGGTAGGATACGGGTTACCCGTACCCATACCCATACCAAGCCGGGTAGGATACGGGTTACCCGTACCCATACCCATACCAGGCCGGGTAGGATACGGGTTACCCGTACCCATACCAGGCCGGGTAGGATACGGGTTACCAGTACCCGAGGCACCCGGAACAGCTCGTTAATCTCGCAATGTTTTAAAACGACCGCATTCTCAAATTAGTTTCCCCACTCGCAGTTGAGTTTGGTTTAATATGAAGGCTTTATTTACCAAAACAAATAAATTGAGTCTCGACAGGTTTCCTCCCTACAATACTCGAGCCAGGGCACTGCCACCCTCTATAACCTCTAAATGTAAACCTTGCTGCCATTTCATTAACTAAAAAGCCATAATGTTTATTGTTCCCACGCCGCCTCCATAATAGAGGCCGCTGGGGTCCACGCAACTTCTGGCAGCAGAATGTCTGTCGATTATTATCCTTCTTTCACGCAGGAAAGTCCGAGTCTCAAGACTCTTTTTTCAAGAGCGTCCTGCCAGGGTTTTTGCAGCAGGGGTTGCAGCCAATACAAGTTTTACATTGCACGTGGGTTTTGTTTTGAGCTATGGGAGGAGGAATCCGTAGAAGCCAGAGGAAACATACCACACAAATGCGGTAATAGCCCTGCAATGTACGCACATCCAGATTCGGGAACCTATCGCTGTACCGTTATCTCATCGCCACCTTGCATCGCCAAGCCTATAACACCTGGCATTCCCAGGCAGACAACCCATCCGAGCAATACACCGAGATTGCTCGCATCCAGGGCGATTTGTATTTGCATGTTTTCGTTATCTGAATCAAGGTCACTACTGAGCAGAGGTCCAAAATGCCAAGCAGCCGGCAAAAGTGTTCCCTCGAGGCGATGGAGGATTTAAGCGGCCATCGCTCAGTGCAGCGGCGCGATTCGTAGAGATGACGTCTGTCGACCCTCGACCCCTGAACCCGTAACCCCTGACTCTCGACCCGTGGATTATGAAACATGGTGAGATTTGCTGACTAACAAATAAAGACAAAGAACCCCCCCCCCCCCGTGTAGCCTTAACAGGCCGTTGGGGCAAGTGCTGTTAGCGAGCAGCTACGAGGGCCGGCAATGGCGCATGAGGGGGTGGGTGGCCAGCACCACCCCCGACCACCTTAATCTTACCAACCCTGGTGGTCGTACACCACACCAGGTACTCATTTTAGGCCGAGTCGACCTAGGGGAGGCCCAGGACCAGTTCAGATAATCGCCACCGGTGTTGGCCGTGAGCGGGAATCGAACTCGGGTCGCCGGGTTTGTAGCTCAGCGCGCTAACCGTTGCACTACCGCTCCCCACAATTTGCTGACACATACACATACATGGACGCGCACACGCAAACACACGCACGTAGACACGCGCGCGTGCGCTCCCACTTACATCGAGGGCGGACGGCGATTCCGATGGAGGATGAGGAGGAGGAGGAGGAGGCGTGGATGACTAACGGCAAAATAAAACAAAAACAACAACGACAAAACACTTCAAATTATAAGTGGAATGAGGACGAATGGACGACGCGCGGGCACTCGCACGTGGCTGGGTGGCACGCGATGGGAGCGCGCGCACGCGATGGGAGCGCGCGCGCGCTCTCTCAATCAACTCGGGCGAGTTGGGACCCGCACACGCACGCACGTGAGATGCTGTTGAGCGTAAATATATTTAACATTTATACATATCGTATGGTGGGTGCGGTGGTTGTCATCATGCTGTGGCGCCATGAGGCTGAGCAACAGGCCCCACGTGGCCCGAAAACGCCATGCGGCCAGCAGCAAACGGCACACTCGAGGGCGTCAACAGATAACGAGGGTTAAAACACGTTTGCTCGAATTGGGCGAGGTTAAACGCAGCGATCTTGGCGAGGAATCGACCGAGCATCCCAGTGGGTAGCGGCACACCTCGTGACACAATTTCGAGGCTTGGCGAGGCTTTCCTGGGTAAACAAATGGATGAATAATAATAAAAATGTATAAAACAGCAGCAGAAGCAGCCGCAAAAAAGACGAATGTTATCCCCGAATAAAAAAAAAATCCCACGGTTTATATAGCTCATGCTGATCCAGAGGTCCTGTTGGAACATTTTCAATACATGCGACAAAGCCATTTTATATATTTCCCTGCACCGATTTGAATCGGCATGGTTGGCCAATTCCTCGTTAAGATTGGCTCGTGTTGCACGGGCGAAATTAATTTGCATACGCTACGAAAACAAATATGATGACCAAAACGTTTGAAAATGACAACCCATTTGGGAAGACCAATTTTTACGAGCATCAATTTGACAAACGATTTTACAAATCGGACAAGCTATTAAAAAACAAATCCAATATTCCCACAGTAAGAAATCCCCCTGTGCCACCGAGCTGCAAGGTTTCTCACTCGCACACTCCCCACAATCGCATTGATTGACATGAAGACGATAGAATCGATGCACGGTGGGGGGGGGGGGGGGGGGGGGGGGGTAGGGGGAACGCACGGTGGCGAGAAGTAATCTCCCTTGCCTGGTATACAGGAGGTCGTAGTTTTGATCCCGACCTTGACGCCTGATATATATGTTGCAGTTTGCGGTGTCTCTCTCCCCGTGGTCGTGTGGATTGTTCTCCGGGTTCCACGGTTTTCCCCTCCACATTTAGAATCGACGTCACGTGTTTAGAATATTTGGCTACTGCTAGAAATTTCCACGTGATAAGCCACTTCGTTGAGCTACCATTTGTGGCCAGGTGGCGTCTGATGAAAAAGAACTAAGTAGCTCAGTGGGCCTTAACTGGTAAAATATAAATATTTGATCTCACAGTTAAAGAAAGTGTAAGACACCAATAGGGCTGTGGATGTGGCCCGGGTGGTCATGCATTCACCGCTTTGTTGCAGAGGTTTGAATCCGGGAGACCGCCCTGGTTATAACTGCAGGTGTATTCACCGTAAAACGTCTTGCGCTATCTGCTTCGCAGTTGTTGTTGGAAGATGCCGAGACATCGTTCGAAACATGGAGACCGTTTTGTGGTGTGCCGGTGGTGTCAAGGTCCAAAATTGTCAAATCAGAAATATTGCACTCTGCAGAATTACTCCAATGACTCAATTGGGATTACACATATCAGCCACTTGCCTTCTACTGGCAGACTGATGCCCGCTCGAAGACCAGATACCGAATCACCTTATGCCGCACAGGGACAGCTGCCACGGGGGGTGCCCCTTTCAAAAGTGTTGAGATGATGAAATGTGATGCAAGTCGCTTATCGCGTGCAATGCTTTCTCTGAATTCGCTCTGGCGTAAAGGAGGGCAGAGCTCTATAAAATAATCCAAGTTACCATTAATGTGGCCGTGATATTTGGAAAATATAAAATCTCAAAATTATGGTTAAGTGAAATGTTTTGATCAATGATCAGACTCTAATTCTGTCATTGTGGAATTGGCCACAGTCTAATCTTTATCTCATCGTCGCTTGGCCTTTCTGGGCCTTTCTGGCCAATCGCAGCCTGACCGTTTCCTTAACAGTGGTCTCTCTCTCTCTCTCCCTCTCCACCTCTCTGTGCGTTGTTGCGTCTCCCTACTGAGACAGCTTCCATTCCCCCATCCAACAGAAGTAAAAAACCACTGCTGGCTCTGCGATGAGTTTGGGGGGGCTTATGCCGCGTGCCGCGTGCCGCTCGGCACGACCAGGCAAGCGAGGGGGGAATTGCGCGGAGCTCATCACACATCGGGTGCTTGTCCTCGCCAATCAATCTCACTCCAGAGAGTTCCGCCACATCCGGTGTGTTTCAAGCGAACGGTAAAAACAACCACAAGCAACACCACCACCAGCCGCACCAGAATAACGACCAGCAGCAACAGCACGATCGTCAAAATCGGGAACCACCACCACCACTGCCGGGAACATTAAATAAATAAGCGGCCCGCACACGCGCAGGAAAAGGAATCTCGCAGAAATTAACCAGCCGGAAAATTGAGTGGCTCAGACAGAGGGTGCAGCAATCATGCGCCGAGCCAGCTGATTGCCTTACAGCGAGAGCGCGCGTGGTTCACCGTTTCCGCGACTCTTACGCGCAACCGCCGTTGGAACGCCCGTCACATCGCCCGCCCGCCAAACGAGACACGGCCCGTCTCCTACGAAGAGCTTCTCTCTCTCTCCCTTTCTCTCTCTCTCCCCTCTCTCCTCCTTTCTCTCTCTCCCCCTCTCCCTCCTTCTTCTGTACAGTGGGAAGTCGATAAGAAACGTTGATTCCGACTTCCAAGATTTTATCCTCACTTCGTGAATGTTGTCCAGAAGACGCCAGGTGTAGTTTCAAGAGAAACACCCCATCTACTCGCTCGAGACCCATAGACTTCCATGGATTTGCATAGAGACCCACGGACTAGCATAGTGGTCTACAGACTCACCTAGATATCCAAAGTACAAGAGACCCCATAGACTCGCATTGAGACCCATAGACTCGCATTGGAGATTCATAGACTCACAAAGAGACCAACAGACTCATATGGGTCTCAATGAATCACGCACACAAACAAACACACACCCGGTGAAGACGGGAAACGGTGCCGGCGACTTTGATCGATGCGGGCAGCGGTGTTTGCCGAGCGCTTTGCGGTGCGAGACCGGTGGCCACGCTGGCAACCGTGGGCCGAGGAGATTGCCCGTCGTCGCCGCCGCATCCCACCCACTCATCGATTTCCCGGCCGCTGTTTGTGTTTTCAATTAGTTTTTTTTTGTCCCTTTGAAAGCGGAATGCTCCTTCGGATGTTGTTCCCCACTCCCCCGTCCTCCCCCACCCACCTCACACCTCCGCCACCATCTTCACCCCCGTGTTTACGATCTGCCGTCTGGGCGATGTAATCGGCATCCGGCGAGCGATAGGAGGCGAAAGGAGGACAAAGCAGGATGCCCGTATCCAGTGCTGGGGGCGGGCGGGCGGGGGGGGTGCGTGCGGTTGGTGGTACGTGCCTAAACCTGGCACGGACTCGCACACAAGTTGCAATGCTTGCAACACAATGCAGGGTGCATAATAGAGGTGTTTTGGGTTAGGTCGCGTAAATATAAATGTGTCGTTGAACCCGCCACCACCCGACACAGCCAATTAGTATGGTTTGCCACATGAACAGAACGTGCCAATTCGTTACTAGCACAGCACACCGGTGTATTGGAGGGTAAACCCACTACATGTACCTTCGAGTACCGTTACGTTTCGCCAGTAATTACAACCAGCCTCATCGGGCAACAGCCAAACACCTCGATTATGGACAAAACTGGTCGCGGAAGCATACGCGTTACAATGCCTACGGCAGTGTCTACACGTGACCGCATTTCGAGATGCGGTAGATAAATGGTGGGCACGTTTATTGTTCGTGTGTCTTTATATTTATACAGAGATAGGGAGAGAGAGAGGTGGGTGGGGGAGCAGTCTGTCATAGGCAGACGAGAAGAGAAAGGCCTCGAGCCAGGACTTCTTGAACATGTGACTGGAAGTCTATGGGTCTCTATTGGAGTTCATAAATCTCTATTGGAGTCTATGGGTCTCTATTGGAGTCTATGGGTCCCTATTTGAGTCAATCGATCTTTGGGAGTCTATGGGTCTCTATTGGAGTTCATGGTTCTCTATTGGAGTCTATGGGTCTCTATTCGAGTCCGTGGTTCTCTATTGGAGTCTATGGGTCTCTATTGGAGACTATGAATCTATGGGAGTCTATGGGTCTCTCTATTGGTGCCAATGGATGTATGGGAGTCTATGGGTCTATTGGAGTCGATGTGAGTCTGTAGGTCTCTATTGGAGTCTATTGATCTGTGGAAGTCTTTGGGTCTCAATGCGAGTCCAAAGAAAGCCATGAATGGAATAAAATGGGGAAGGCCTTTACCCAGCAATGCAAGATTATAGCCGCCCGACGACAACAACATTTGCCCGTGGGTCTCTGCACGTGTCCTCCGTTCCCTCTGCGAGTCCGCGGGTCTCTATGTAAATCTATGGGTCTCTGCGTGAGTCGCTCGCTCCCTCTGCGAGTCCGCAGGTCTCTATGTAAATCTATGGGTCTCTGCGTGAGTCGCTCGCTCCTTCTGCGAGTCTGCGGGTCTCTATGTAAATCTATGGGTCTCTGTAGACGACGCAGTCGGCTCCGCACCTGCGCTCCTTCATGTCGGGTTTATGTTTCTCGGCTGCTGTGGTGGTTGTCATCGCGTCTCGTGGGGGGGGGGGGGGGGCGGGAGTAATTACCGTCAATTTAACGAGCGGGCCCAGATAAGCCCCCCCCCCCCCCCCCACTTCTCGGCCAGTCAGAGCCCCGTGACGGTTGGTGGAGGGGGGTGGGAAGGGGGGGGGTCCCGCGTGCGTGTTTACAAGCCGCGGTAATTTGGCGGTACAGGGGGAGGGGCAGAACGTGGTGGTGGTAGTGGGGGTCAAGGGGGGGGGTGGCACGAGGCATCGCAACGAGCGGCGGTGCCGGGCACGGGAGGCGCGAAACCAAGTGGCGGGGGGGGGGGGGGGGGGGCTCGTGGGGGTGTGAAGGCGGAATCAAGACGAGAGCCCCAGGAGGAACAGAAAACGAGAGGGACGGGCGGCGCGCAGAGAGAGGGAAAGATAGAGAGAGGGAGGGAGGGAAGAAGACAGAGAGAGAGAGAGGGAGAGAGGGAGAGAGCACAATAGAGCCGTCGCAGGGATTAATTAACGTTGTAATCATAACAATAATTAGTTTTTTTTACCCAGGAAAGCAACACTGAGTACGAAGACTCGTTTTTCTCTGGGGGGATCCCGCTACATTTGAATGTTTGGCCAACGTCAATGACACTGTCTGTGTTTAGCTACGGGAGGAATCTGCAGGAGACCCATGCAGAACAGGGGGAGAGAATACAATGCAGATAGATGGCATGGGTTAGGTATCGGACCTACGTCCTTCTTGCTGCTTGGCATAGCTTCAAGCAAAACGTAAACATTTCACTGCTAAATATGGGCGTGGGAATCTTTCTTCAACTTAACCGGTCAACCAACCCGAGTTGGCGTGTTAAACGATTTTATACCACGCGTGGCGATTCAATTGTGTGGCTCTGCTGAGTGGCGGAGGGTCTTGACAACACAACCATGGCCAGATCATAACGTGGAGGCCTACCCCCAAAAATCAATTACGAATCGTAACATTTTTCCGCGAAAATCCACACGTAAAATCAGCAATTCATTTTCTTCATTTTCAGCCGTGTTTATCTGGGTCCGCGACCTCGTAGTGCATTTCACCATCCGGCACACCACATCCAATGTGTACCAACTTTCGCTACGGCTGTGGCTGTGAGTCACATACCCTCCCCTGCAGTCAATGCTCTCTCTGGGACTGTCTGGGGCCGGGACGATCATTGATAATTTTTACCAACAAATGGCTCCGTTATTCTGTTAATTAACAAAGTAAAATGCCCATTGGCAAAGACACGGCAGTAGGGGTAGCAGAGACAAGGAGGCGATTTTTCTACCGCCTTTGAGCGAGCGACTGAGCGAGTGAGCGAGCGAATCGGCGAGTGATGGGGCCATCAATCAGCTCGACTGCTTTGTGTCCACGTGCAGCGACTGTACTCACACGCTCACCTTGCAACATCGGTGTGCTCCTGCATTGCGGACAATTAATTAATTCGAAACGTTACTGTTAATGACCGACGAGTATTAGTGTCGCTGAAATGTTCAACGGTGGCACCGTTGTATTATCATTGTTATTATCAACATCATCATCAGTGGAGTGGAGGATGGCGGCCTTCACGTGGCCCCACTGTTAAGTGAGAAATCGCGACGAATGGCGTCGACGCGGCAACAACAACGCTAAGCGGAATTGTATCCATTGCCCTGCATCGACATCAGCCAAACGAAAGACGAAGAGGATTATTACGAGTAGCAGCGGTGGTGGCGGATTTACCTTGCGAGCAGGGGACACTCCACAGCGGTCCATGATTTGCGCCGTCAGCCTGCAATCGACAGCACACGCGGAACGGTCGATCGGTTACTGGGCCTCGGACTCCGTCACCGCACTCGCCAAACAACATCCGATTCGCCCCGTCACCATCGTCCAGTTCGTGCCACTTTCCCCCTGGCACATCCGAAGGCTGCCACCTTCCACTCAACTTCAGTGAGTGACGCGACTTAAAGATGGCGTCGCTACGACGTAGCTGACGCTGTCGCCTACGTGCCCATCGGACTCGTTCGCTGTGCGTGGCATCGCTGGCGCGGCTTTGGCTCCTGCAGTGGAAAAAGAAAACCGGGCGCCTCCCGAGCCGCGCCGCCACGTTGGCGGAACTCCCAGAGGGCAGCGCAACCACCTCCCATGACAGGAGATGGGCCCATTGGAAGGAGGACGATGTCACAGAACTACTTCCGAGGTATGATTCAAGTGGTCTCTGTTTCACGCAGCAGGGGCTGCACTTCCCGGCGGCAGTACCATGGGGAGAAATGTTCAGCGCGGTTAAACTGATATATATTTATTTTAAAACTGAATCGAATTATGCGCAAGAAGAAAATTTAATGCGCAACCATGGGTGACCGGGCCGAGATCATCAACTCGCTACGCTTGAGAACCCGCCTTAAACACAGGCAGTGGCTAAAACCCGGATTCAAATCCGGTTTTCGCGCTGAACAGGGCCAATTGACATCTGGTAACCCAGCAGCGTCCGTTTCATCGAGCCAGACGCACTCATCGGATTTCTCCAGGATGAATTAAGACTACGATTTCGAAACCCAGGCCAACGAGGCTGTACACGTTGGTCTTATTACAATTATAAAACAAAACCATGGAACGACGTATATCGGAGGGGCTGCCACGCGGCATGGCAAAGGCATCGCCGCGCCGCCCCCACCCACCCACCCACCGATCCCCCCAATGCCGGCGCCGCGTGATTTACACCCGAGCCGCATATTAATTGCCTCTTATCGCCCGCCGGCTCAGCCCGGCATCACCCGTGCAGGGACGACCGAGGGGCCTAATTATGATTCCGCGGATCATCTCTCCGCCGCCGCCGCCACAGTTGTAAAGGGGGGGGGGGGTGGTGATCGGCGCACGAGCGGTGGGGGGGCGATGAAAGATGAGTCCTTTCGTCGCCGTTTGTTTTTACTCCGGCAGGAAAGGTCTCTCCGCCCGGTCCGAGATTCTTCACCAGAGCGGGAAGGGTGACCCCCCCCTCCCGCCAGCTGCTGCGGCCGCTGCGGCATCGGGACAATTGGCCGATGCCTCGTGCACGTACCAGGGCTCTCGACGCCGAGAGTTCTGCTTCGGTAGATTTGGTGAACGCTTGCCGCCCTGAGAAGTCCGCGTCCCCGAGTCCGATCGGCACTCACGGCCAACGTCGGTGGCCGATTTATCCGCAGCGGTCCTGCGCCTACCCTAGGCTGACTCGGCCTTGAAACGAGTGCCCGGTGCGGTGTGTGAACACCAGGGCCAGAGAGATGAAGGTGGTCAGGGGGGCTTGGCGTTGGCCACATCACCTCCTGGTGCGCCGTGCTGGTCATAATAGGCGCTCATGGATAGCACTTGCCTCCGCAGTCTGTATGGCTCTAAGGGTGGACCTTTGTCTTTGTGTGTCTAGAAGGGTAAGTGTCTGAAAATGTAAGCGTGCGCGCGAGTGTGTGCGTGCATGTGCATGCGTCAATCTGTATGTGTGTGTGTCAGCAAATTGTGGGGAGCGGTAGTGCAGCGGTTAGCAAGCTGCGCTACGAACCCAGCGACCCGGGTTCAATTCCCGCTCACGGCCACCACCGGTGACGATTAACTGAACCGGTCCTGGGCCTCCCCTAGGCCGACTCAGCCTCTGAGTACCTGGTGTGGTGTGTAAACATCGCCACTGAGAAGACAAAGGCGGTCGGGCGTGGTGCTGGCCACCCACCCCCTCGTGTGCCGTTCCGGCCTCCATAGGTGCTCGCTAACAGCACTTGCCCCTACAGTCTGTTAAGGCTACACGGGGGATCTTTGTCTTTGTGTGAATCTGGATATGTGTTGGTGTGTGTGTGTGTGAGTTTGAATCTGGATGTGTGTGTGTCAAAGTGATGGCCTCCGGACAGAAGGAGCAATCACATTGACACACACACACACTGACAGCCATCTCCTCAGTCAACCCATAACTCCCTGGGGTCTGCTCCGTGACCCCCTGCCAGCGGCCCAACCTTCGACACTTCACGCGACATCCTCAAAGTGCACCCAGCCTGGCACAAGTGCTGCGGCGACGGTCACTTCCACTTATTGGCGAATGGCAGCAGCTGCTGCTGTGGTGATTGCGCGCGTGGATGTGTGTGTGTGTGCGCGTGCGTGCGTGTTCACATTTCGCCCGTGCGTCCTGCGTTGTGTAGAGTTCTATTCTCCAACGCTCCGCGCGCTTCCGTTCGGGTCGACTGCACTTAAAACTAAACCATTGCGGTGGCCGGCTCTTGTACGGTTAAATCAAGTTCATCTCCCTGCCTGTCGCGGGCAATGAACAGTCAGATTCATTCCAGAGTACAAGTCTATCGGTGGGAGAGCAGGCAACCGTCACCTCAACCCCCCACTGTGTATCTCCTGCCAAGAGCAATTGCTCGCTCGCACTCTCTCTCTGATGCAGTGTGGCTCAGCTTGCCACCTTATCCCTCTCCTCGGTGTGTCTGTGCGTGTGTGCTGCAGCATCCCTGTGGTGGTGTAGCGGTCGGCGCTACGCTGCGCTCCGAACCCGGCGACCCGAGTTCGATTCCCGCTCACGGCCAACACCAGTGATGATTGTTATCTGAACCGGTTTTGGGCCTCCCCTAGGTCGACTCAGTCTCAAATGAGTACCTGGTGCGGTGTGTTGTAAACATCACCGATTGGAAAACAAAGGTGGCTGGGCGTGATTTCTGGCCTTCATAGGTGCTCACGAACAGTACTTGTCCCAACAGTCTGTTAAGGCTACTCGGGGGATCTTTGTCTTTGTGTTGCAGTATCCCTGGCCACTCCACACCGCTCTCTGCCAATACGAAAACAGACAAGGCTATGTGCAGTTGACACAAAGAACCCTGACTATTTTTTATTTTACTAGGTAATGCCCACTGAGCAATTTTTTTAGAAGCGACGTGGCTATCACAAATGATAGCTCAACGAAGTGGCTCATCAGGTGAAAATGTACAGCAGCCAAATACTCTAAACGCGTGACGTTGATTCTAAATGTGGAGGGGGAAAAAACGGAGGACCCAGAGGAAAATCCACACGACCACGGGGAGAGAGAGCATGCAAACTCCAAATATACCACAGGCGTCAGGGTCGGGATCGACCTCACAACCTCCTGGACACCAACTTAAATCTCAACGTCCAACACCCCGTGAAATATTAATGCCAGATTAATCCATGACCACCGACACTTGTGCTGGCTCAGCACTTGAACCGGGCAGGCCCAGTGAGCCAATGCCATTAATAAAACGCCAAAACACCCCACGAGTTATATAATTGGCAAAACATTCCACTAGTGGAAGGGCCCAACCTTAAATGAAGCGTGAGAGACTCGGTGAGACTCGGTGAGACTTGCCCAAATAAATAAAAGTCCATTGTTGTTGTTTTTATATACATTGGGACTGAGCCTTTGTGTTTCCCAGCCTTGGCGATTGGTTTTTAGTATACTTCAAGTCACTCGAAATTTCCTCCTGAGATGAACGTCGGAGGCATTGGGTGCTCATCTTCCGTTTTTACACCACTGCAGAGCCCGTGGGGGAGGCGAGTCTATCCACAGGGAAACCCCGCTGTTGACGTCCCCACAAAGCGGTGCTTATTTTATTGACCCCCTCTGAGGGATGATGATGATGATGATGATGGGCCGAGTAAAACCGTCCCCCTACCAGGTCGCGATCGTCCGCTTGGCGAGCCGCTCGCTCTGCTGCCGAGCCACGTGGGCGGACCGAGCGATGAACAAGCGGCAAAAGTAAACACGCGCGGGGGGCTGGGCAGCGGCACGAGCGCTCGCGGCGCCGTTTTTACGACATCCATCACGGAGGCGGCGGCGGTGGTGGTGGCGGCGTTCCTCCTCCGCTTCGGACGTTCCCCGCAAAAAGCTCTCCCCACCAACAAAAACAAAAACTTCACGCGAGCGGATAAGGCCGGGGCTGTGGCTCGTTTGCCTGACGCAGATTTATGGAACGGAGCCAGGCAAAGGTTCTGCCGGTTCTCTCCGCAGAAAGATAAAAGACTCGCACGGCGCCTCGGGCCACGGCACGCCCCGTCTCGCTCCAAGGCGTCAAACGCCAGCCGGTGTCACATTTTTTATTTTCCACTGCGCAACCGAGCCGTGCCGGGGCCATTCCAAATAGGCCCGGCGTAGCTCGGAAAGGTAACGCGTTTTATTTTTTTGTCCCACTGCAGAAGCCGTGCCGTGCCGATGACATCACACGTATCTGTGTGTGTGCATGTGTCGTTATGGCCAACACCAGTGACGAATATCTGAACCGGTCCTGGGCCTCACCTAGGTCGACTCAGCCTCAAATGAGTACCCGGTGTGGTGTAGAAACATCGCCACTCGGGAGACAAAGGCGGCCAGGCGTAGTGTTGGCCACCCACACCCTCGCGTGCCGGCTTTTATAGGTGCTCACTAACAGCACTTGCCCCTACAGTATGTTAAGGCTATACAGGGGATCTTTGTCCTTGTTGAACTTCTATCGCACCGTACGCAGCCAACCGTGCTAATCGGATGTGCGCGGGGGAAGGACAACAACACTAAACGCACGCAAAAAAAATAACTAGCTACTTGCGTCGGTGGCATGCGGTTGGACTGGGCAGCTCTCCGATGCCATTTCGGGTTGCCGAGTTGGTCGTGGGGCTTTTTGTTGCCGTTGCATACTTCACCACGCTGGTCATCATGGTTTGGTGAAGTGGCTTGAAAGAAAGGGGGAAGGAGGGGGCGGTGGTGGAGGAGCGACCAGGCCCAGTTCAATAACAAGGACGAGTATGTATACAATAGCTATCCACTCACATCGTTGACATTAAAAT